AATAAATAAAGTTTTTTTCTCTTTTTTAAATGAATAAATAAATAGGTAGATTACTAATTAAAATTTAAAACTGTAACGCAGAAGATTGGTCTTCACCTTTAACCTTATACCGCCGGTATCCCGACAGCAGCAGTCCGGGATCGGGACGACGAGGTCGCCTTCGACATCAGAAAGGCCAGGCGTTCCGTGACACTGCTCATGGTTGGTCTCGAATCCTCGTCCTCTTGAACACAATCTGCGGCCAATCGAACTACAGCCATAACCATGCTCTTGGTCGATGATCGAGCGGCCTGGCTGCGCAGACAAGCATCGAGAATCACGTAAGGCATGCCAGCACTAGACACACCATCCTCTAGAAAGGGCTTTAGGAAATCAACAAGCGACTTAGGTCTTTTAATACCAACAGCAACAGCAGCAGCAGCAGGAGAGGGAGAGGGAGAGGGAGAGGGAGAGGGCTGAGGAGGAGAAGGTGGTGTCCCAGTCCTGTGAGGAGAAGCAGGAGGGGGAGGGGGCGACGATATCGCGGCTCGCGGAACAGCATCAACAGGAGGAGGAAAAGCAGGAGCAGCAGCAGCAGGAGGAGAACGAGGAGGAGGAGCAGATGATGTACTAGCTCCGTAAACAGCTGAAGCAGGAGGAGGAGGAGGAGGAGGAGGAGGAGGAGGAGAAGGAGGGGGTGTTATACGTGCTCGACCAACAGCAGCCGCAGCAGCAGCAGGAGGAGGAGGAGGAGGAGGTGGAGAAGGAGGTGGAGAAGGAGGGGGTGTTGTCCGTGTTAAACCACCGACAACAGCAGCAGCAGCAGCAGGAGGAGGAGGAGGAGGAGGAGGCGGAGAGATTCGATGAGGAGTTGGTCGAGAAGATGAGGAGGGCACCTCCCCTCCTCCCACCTTCCTCCCACTCAGTAGTTCCAGCAAAAGCACTCCGAATGCGTACACGTCACTCTTCTCTGACAACCTGCCAGTGGCAAAGAACTCCGGGGCCATGTATCCAGACTGCCAGCAGCTGGGCGGCAAAGGAGAAGAGCAACGGAAGCAAGTCGCACAGCCTTGCAATTTGTCCTCGCTGCTGTGCGACGACGGAGAAGGATGTCGACGAGTCCTACAGCTGTGCGACGACGGAGAAGAGCGATGGGAGCAAGTCTCACAGCTGTGCGCCGAAGAAGAAGACGACTGAGAAGAAATCTCACGGCTGAGCGGCGGAGGACGGCGGTCATGCGAAGCTTTGCCGCTGGGCGGCAGTTTCGCACTCTCTGTGTGCGACGACGACAACGACTGCTGCTGCTGTTGTTGTTGCTTCTGCTGCTGCTGATCGTCCTCCTCCTCCTCCTCCTCCTCCTCCTCCTTCTCCTCCTCCTCCTTCTCCTCCTCCTCCTCCTCATCATCATCATCATGAGGGGTGATCGTCGTGGGACGATTCGCCATTACCACAGTCGATTGCTTGTGCGACGAAGAAGGCCGCTGAGGAGGAGGAAATGACTCGCTATCATTGTGCGGCGGCAAGTTGCCACAGCTGTGCGGCGGCAAAGATGTCTGCGGATGGCACGTGTCGCCACTGTCTCGCCCGGCAGATCGGGTAATCTCCTCCTCCGCCGACGACTTAGTGTGCGACGCAGAAGACGACAAAGTACGGGACGACGAGACTTTGCGGGCCGCGTGCGGCGAAGAAGCAGTCGGCAAAGCCCTGGCAGCGGCGTGCGACGAAGAAGACGGGCCGGCATTCGTCGCACAGGTGTGCGGCGACAAGGAAGCAGAAGACAGCCGCACACACATGTCCGGCTGCGCCGGCGGCGGCGGCGGCGGCGGCGGCGGCGGCGGCGGCCTCTTGCTGCTGCTGCTGCTGCTGCTGTTCGGCGCACACGCAGGGATCTCTGAGCCGTCCATCTGTTCTTGCATGCAAAGGCTGATCTCCTTCTCCACGTGGAACACATTTTGTCTCATTCTCATCATCCCGTAGTCTGCAACCAACACGTGCACCGCCCTCCCTTTTCCCCCACCCTGATCTCTCTCTCTCAGCAACACGTTTCTACTCTTGATATCCCCATGAACCATGGGTGGGGTTATATCGCTATGGAGGTAGCATATAGCCTTCGCGATTTGCAATGCGATCGTCACGCGTTCTACCATCGACAGAGGCGGCAGCACTCGCTTGTTGCTGCCCCCTACCATAGCTCTTGTCCTGTCGTGCAGCCGCGCATGCAGACTCCCTCCTCCAATATAGGGGTAGAGTAGGGACCCCTTTCCTCCCCCGGCACAGTACCCCACTATTTGGATAAGATTAGTGTGATCAAGCTTGCTGAGCTCTGCCACCTCCGTTAGGAACCGTTTCCTCCTCTTCCCCTCCGTTAGATCGCCCGTTATCACCTTGATGGCTAGCTGTTTACCCTCAAGGGTTCCCAAGTAGGTGTCGCCGTACACCCCCTTTTCCCCCATAATTCGGAAATTAGAGTTGAAGTTGCTTGTGATTTGTGAAAGGGGTGCTATTTCGTAAGATTTCAGACGGAAAGGGGTCTCGTTGGCCTCCTCCTCCTCCTCCTCCACCTCCTCCTCCTCCTCCTGCTCCTCCTCCTCCTCCTCCTGCTCCTCCTCCTCCTCCTCCGGTAGAGAGGGCAGAGCGGACAGTTTGTCGCCGTTATCATCGCCTTGGATCAAGCCGGTGACGACAACCGAACTGTTCATAGCGGATCCAGAGGAATCAGGAGCAGGAGGGGGGGGAGGGGGAGGCTGCTGCACTGCATCTGACCGGCGAATCAGTCCAGGTGGGAGTGGCTGCTGCCCTGCATTTGACCCACGATTCCGTCTAGGAGGGAATGGCTGCTGCTTCTGCTGCTGCTGCTGCTGATGATGATGATGATGATGCCCTGCATTTGACCCGCGATTCCGTCTAGGAGGGCATGCCTGCTGCTGCCGCTGCTGCCCTGCATTTGACCCGCGATTCCGTCCATGTGCAGGGCCAGCCAACTGGGCTTTATGTTCGTCAATCCGTCCAAGTGCACCGGCGAACCGGTCCATCAATGTACATAGTACGGTAGAGTCGTTCTTCTTCCGAACCTGGTCCAGCACCTGGTCCAGGTTCTGGTCCAGAACCTGGTCCTGAGCGTGGTTGCCTGGGGATAACGGCTTGCGGCAGAACAAGCAGCACAGGTATAGAAGGCCGGTACCAACCCCAAGTGCCAGAAAAGCCGTGACAACAGAGACTACGATGGTAGCTGATCCTCGAGAGAGGGAGGAGGAGGAGGAGGAGGAGAAAGGAGGAGGCGAATCCGAAGAGAGAGGAGGCAAGGAGCTGGAGTGTGCGCTGCCAGCTTCACCAGCACCCGTTTGACGCCCTGCCGAATTGCGCTCGTTAGTGGCAAACAACGGGGAACTGGAGCCTCCAGAGGTCGTGGAGTTTGCGAAGGGGGAGGTGGTCGTGGGAGCAGAACTGCCCCCCTCTGGAGGAGTTATGTGATCGGTCGCACATGCATGCAGCAACGACCGGTCTATTTCCAATTCGAACAGCTGGCCATCGTCCGACCCGACGTAAAGGTACAATCTTGGCCCCTGTGCATGGAGTGACACCCCCCACAATCTATGATCGGGATACGTAAACACTGTCTCCAAACTGCGCGCCGAGCCACAAGGGGAATCTAATTTTAGCCAAACGATATTCCCTCGGCCATACTGGCTGACGAAGAGATTACACCCGTCGGAAGTAGAGGCAAGCTCGCGCAAATCACTGAGCTGCAAGCTCGAAGACAAGGATACCCCCTCCACCTCTCCCCCACTCTCCTTCGGAATCCCGTTCCCATTATTCCCATTATGATTGCCACCATTCTCACTCGCGCAACCTGCCACGTGTCTCACGTTCAGCGACTCCTTATCCAGTCCCCACACCTGGGATCTCACTACATCAAGGAAGTACAGGCAGCTGCCATCACGAACCCAGCTCTGCGGACCAAAGTATACGTGCGAGATCTCTCCCCCCTCCCCACCACCTCCTCCTCCTCCCCCTCCTCCTGCTCCCTCATCTCCTCCTCCTCCTCCTCCTCCTCCTCCTCCTCCTCCACCTGCTGCTGCTCCTCCGCCTCCTCCTGCGAAGCTCTTGACCACCTCTATACTGTTGATGTCGACCGTATTTGAAGACTCTGAGAGCAGGGCGGAGAGGATCCGCACAGGCCGGGATCCGTCTGAGAAGAAGAGACGCTTGCGATCCGTCGGATCAAAGGCGAGTCCATCGACGAAGCCAGCAGGTACAGGGATGGCGGCTCGAGTCCCATTGGGTCCGAATACGGTGGTGATCGTCGAGGATGGGTACCGAAGCTCAGCTGCTGACACCGAGTCCGAGGAGGAGGAGGAGGAGGAGGAGGAGGTGGATGCTTGAGGTGATGGAGGTGTTGTGACAGCTATGGGAGAGGGAGGGAGAAATGTGACTGTGCCAACAACCAGGTCTGCCGTTCGAGCACCAGCTGGGCTGCTTCCTTCTCCAGCAGCTCTTGCAGGTATAACCAGGTCCATCCCGTACACCATAGCCATGTTGGCTATGGCTGGGGAGGAGGAGGAGGGGGAGGAGGAGGAGGAGGAGGAGGAGGAGGAGGAAGAGGCCTGATTGCTGCCGCTCCCCGGACCGAAGGCTATGGCTTCGTCCATTGATGACGAACTTGAGCTGCAGTTGGGCCCATTGAGTCTGTCAGAGGGCCACCAGTAGGTGATCAACGACGTGCCAAGCGGAGGGGGTGGAGGGGGTTGAAGAGGATTCGAGCCCTCGACCGCTGGCTCTGGATACAGCAAACGCGACTGCCTGAAGGAAATGCGCTGATGGTTGTTGCCCCCATCACCCGTGCACCTCTCATCGAGGATGAAGTAGAAGACGCCATCGTCGGTATCGGGATCAAAGACGAGATTGCGAACGACGGAGCCGCACCAGCCGCGGGTTCGATGGGGATCGGGACCAGGTGGAGAGGAGGAGGTAGACGTGTTGAAAGAAGGAGAGGGCGTGGAGAGGTTGAATGAGGAGGAGGAGGAGACAGAGAGGGAGGTATTCGAGGAGGAGGAGGAGGAGGAGGAAGAGGAGGAGGAGGAGGAGGAGGTGTAGGTGGTGGAGATGAAGGATGATTGGGGGGTGTGGAGTCGTATGGCCTTATAGCTCAGGGTAGAATTGGGTTGCCTTGTAAAGAGATGAGAGGAGGTAATCAAGGTAATCAAGCCCGGTTCCTCCTGAGCCTGCAGATCGAATGGTGGCACAGGAGGGTGCCACGTGTGCAGATCTCCGACCCTCGCAGAAGCTGCTCGATTCTGATAATGATGATGATTGGCGTGAAGCAGAAGACCACGGCTCTCGGACGCTGCGGCCTCTTGTGTCTCCCCCGGCTTTGTCGTAATGTTCATCGATTTTATCCAATCAGGGTAAGATGCAAATTGGCGGGAAAAATTCTTAGATAACGGTGTGGATTCGAACTGATCAGAGAGAGAATCAGAGTGATTGCCTGCTGAGGGGGACAGATGGAGAGCAACCCCTGCGCTGCCACGTGTCAGCAGGAGGCTGCAACAGCTGATCCAGACCGCGACAACGACAAAGTGTTTCAAGAGAACACGCTGGAGGACTGACACGTGCACAACGGTATCACCCGATCCCGATGACACGGCAAGCCCCCCCCCCTTATACTTGCCGCTCAAGTCCTCCCCCCCCGTCTCTGTCCCCCAGACGCTCATCGTCGTCTGCATCCACGTCACCCCCTCCATCCCGATCCCGATCATCACCGTCGAATAGGGGTATAGGAACGATACGGTTCATAAAACTGCACGCGCTCCAGCTTGACCTGTCGTCGGCT